GTGTGAACAATAAATATCTGGAAGCGTGTGATGTGGCCTTATAAGATGCATCTACCCTTTTTCTGTACTAATAGTTATGTAAAGGTATGGAAAAAAATTATATTAGGCACTTGACCCTATTCTGTTGTTTCGGCAACACAAACTGCTGGATATGATATAATGATGCGTTCTTGGAAGTGGTTGGGGTTATGTGGTTTCTTTAGAAAGACAATAACACACATAGAGTATATCTAAACGTTGTTACCGATGGAGTTAATCTTGTACTGATGCATTTCCAACTTGATGAGAAAGAAAATAAAGCTATAGTCAGCCCAGCTTGTAGTGTCCGCAATCGCTTCAAAGCACATATTAGTGACTTTCTTACGTAGCACAATCACCGCATCTCAATTTAATAGAGCAGCTTTAGGATGAAGATCAACGTTGCATTCATTTTTATAATCTTCTGCTGGTATTGTCATCCATTCTAGATTGGATCCCTTGTCGAATGACAACTACATTCGAAGAAAACATCTTACAGCATTTCGTATACTCTATGCCAAGAGAAATCCAGTACAGTATTGATCCGAAAGCTGGTGCAACTTGATATTGTGGGGTGTCTTCGGAAATGGATCTAAGATAATTTACTCTATGCCAAGAGAAATCCAGTACAGTATTGATCCGAAAGGTGGTGCAACTTGATATTGTGGGGAGTCTATGGAAACGGATCTAAGATAATTTACTCTATGCCAAGAGAAATCCAGTACAGTATTGATCCGAAAGGTGGTGCAACTTGATATTGTGGGGAGTCTATGGAAACGGATCTAAGATAATTTACTCTATGCCAAGAGAAATCCAGTACAGTATTGATCCGAAAGGTGGTGCAACTTGATATTGTGGGGAGTCTGTGGAAACGGATCTAAGATAATTTACTCTATGCCAAGAGAAAGCCAGTACAGTATTGATCCGAAAAGTGGTGCAACTTGATATTGTGGGGAGTCTATGGAAACGGATCTAAGATAATTTACTCTATGCCAAGA